CATACTTTATAATTAAGAAATGATATTATCGTCTACTACCACTGTTTCAGTAGGAGAAGAGTGTCTATGAAATAAAAAAAATGAAATGTTAGTTTTATTGACCAGTGTAAAGACTTTTTAGCTCTAGCATACATTTGAAGAGTATTAACATTATCCATAACTTGATTATAATCTTTTTGTTGTTCATTCTTCGTTGAAATGTAGCTACTTGTTGTTTGTTGTTCATACCTTTCATCAATAAGATGTTCTATTTTTCTATATTGAGATGTTATTGTCTTTATCGTCGTTGGTAATAATTCCAATGATAAATAATGTTGTTGAACTCGACGAAGAGTCAAATTACTATCGGATAGAGAACGGTGTAAAATAATTTTATTAGTATCATATTTACAACAAACAACAACATTATCAAGTTGATGGTGAATATTTTCTTCATGTTCATTATCACTTGACGATGATTCAGAATCATCTGATTCATCTTGTACTTGTAGTTCATTCATATCCTCAAAACCAAAACCTTGATCTTCATCTTCATCGATTGATTCCTCTACTGCAGGTTGTTGTTGTGGTGGCTGTAGCTGATGGTCGTTATTGCTATTTTCTTCATGTTCACTAAAGACATCGTTATGTTCACCGGAATTATCTTCTTCTTGATCACTAGTAATATCCTGATCACTTTGTTGACCGTCATCCTCTTGATTCGGACCAAAATCAGCTTCAATAAAATCATTCTGATCTTCTGCCGTATCAGCGTCAATGATTAATTCAGTTTTTGTCTATAACGAAGATGAGATAAAACTGAACTAGGTAATAATAGCATAAATCAATTGAGTCTAATTAGAATCTGGTGTACGAGGGAACCCCTCGAAGTGATTAAACGCTTTTTGCTCGGAATCTAGTGGGTTATAGGTTATCGACTATGCTGATTACGAATACGACCATGGGGCTTCCCCATAGCCCTTCGAAGACCTGATTTTCTAGAAGACCAGTTTTTTCAAAAACTCTAAAATATAACCCG